GAATCAAAAAGTGAGAGGGTGCCACATACCTCCCTTAGCATCCGTTCGTCCTCTTTCGCGTTCCCCACTGTAGATGGGGTAACTTTCCAGCGATCGAGCCACCTGTCCGGGGCTGCATTGAAATCTCCCGCCAGGATTAAAGGGATATCGGGATGCGTTTTAGTTGTGATTTTTTCCAGGAAGGCCTTGTGTTCCTGAAGTGAATTAGGCGCATATATGCACACAATGTGCACCACTTCTAGTTCTAACATTCCCAATATGGATACCCACTTGCCCTCTTCCTTGTCCGTCTCCCATTGGATCACCTCCAGCCTTGAGTCGGGGGGGGATCCATATTGCCACCCCTACCCGACTAGGTCCCCGGGAGTGTGTGTGATATGACCCGTATGGCCAGACTAATTTGAGTGCCCTGCGGTGATTAGGTGTGTCCATTGTGTCTCTTGGACACACACCACATCCGGCCACGACCTTCCTCCCACCCCTCGCAAAAGATCCCATATTGCTTGAGATTTTCCGTGGCAGGTGGATGCCAAACCATTGCCGTTGATGAATCTAAGGTCCAGGTCTGCCATTTGTAAGGTTTTTTCCATGCACGGTTTCTACCGTACAGCGCTTCCACCCAGTCCATCTTGCCCGTTGGTATCTACCCCGTTTGCTGTCTGCGTGGATGGGTTTGAGAGCTCTTTTTTTTTTATAGAATCTTTGCCAGGGCTGCTGGTCCCATATTACCCTTCCGTTGAGTATGCCCTTGCGGGCAATCTTGGACAGGCAGGTGATCAGATCTTCCCCCAACCAGATGTGGCTCGGCTTCACCTTGAGGCTCTGCATTTCTAAAAGTGTTGTGACTGAGCCAGGTGAGGCCCTCTTCTTTGTGCTCCTCGAAGAGCACGAATACATCCCAGTCTGCTATCTTGTTCGGGCCCCCTGAAGCAATCAGGGAGGCTGTGGCCCCTGGCTCGTAGTGGTCCACCACAAAGCTCTTGACCTCTTTCAGTCGAAACCCCCCGGGGTCGTCCTGTCGCCACCCGTGGAGGGTCACCCCCCCCAAAACTGGGGGTGTAGTTGTTGTGGTCGGCCGGGGAGAGTCTCAATTCCCATCTGCCCCCCTTATTCCGGAGTGGGAGTACCAAGACTTTGCTGTTTTCTATCAGCGCCGCCTCGTGGCATCCTTTTTCCACTAGGCGGCGTAGTTTGGATCTGCGGGACGGAGGCAGCCCTTGCTCCAAGGCCGGCTTCAGCGTTTCACTGCTGTCCAACATGGTGAAAAGGTGCACGCCCACCCCTGTATCCTATAACCTCTTCAAACTCAAACTTAAGGCTTAAACCATCAGTACCTGGCCTAGCTATCGGCCGCGGAAAAAAAATAGAGTAGGAACGTTTCTAGTTGGATGAATTTGGGCACTTCTGTAGTGGCCCGTATGTTGCCTACAGTCGCGACTTGTTTACGGGCCCAATCTCAGCCATTGTTCTCTGATGCAGCTGTGCACGCACCACACGTTTCCGAGATTGGCCTGCTGAAGCAAAATGGTTGGCGGTGCCAGCTGAAAAGGGGCCCGCACTGATTCGTTTTTCTTTGGCGCGCAGGGGGAATCTGCTTCGGCCAAAGAAAGCCTGAGAGCACGGGTGGCGTAAAGCACCACTAGACCACAAATTCTATGAAAAATAGAGAAAGTAGAAGTTAAGTGTGGCTAATAAATAGTACCATTCACAGGCCCATGGGTGTCAACGTGGAGCCCGCACCACTTTGGAGGCCGGAGATTTTTTTTTTCAACGGCTCCCCACGCCGCGCGGCCCCTCCGAGTTTTGCTTGTGCGACAAAAACTTCTGCAAGGCTGGGACCGTGTACTGGCGGCTTAAGCATAGTCCTTTCACAACCATGCTACTCCCCTACTCAGGTGGTGTGCACCCTTGGATGGGGCTCAGACACATAATATGGCAAGTGTGCTAAATGCGGCAGCTATGGGGATTCTCTGAGGTTCCGCAGGGAGCAGAACTCAACAGAATACAACCAGCCAGTGGATGGTACAGTTACGGCCACTTAGGCTGGGGAGGACAGTACTGCAGATTGCAGGGTGCTGAGTTCTCCCACTGCCAATGGAGTCTGCTCGGCATTGAGGAGTAGGAAGGATGATGTATATCCGCGTTGCAGTGGCGTCGCTGTCAACAAGGCGAATCTTTTTTTTTTTTTTTTGAGGGGGGGGTACCATTTGGAGTCTCCCGCCTTGGAATGGCCGCTCTCCCCTGGGTGTGTCGTGGGAGTGTGATTATATCACTGGTCGTCAGGGTAGGGCCCGCCTATAAGAAGAAAAAAAAACAAGGCGATTCTTGCAGGAGATCCTCTAGAGGAGTTCAATGATGAAAAGGCGGAAGTTACCCCAATAAATAGGGGTCAAAGAGAGGACCCAGCGCATGTGGCTGAATCGTACACCCATGTAACTGTTGATAAACAGACCTTAGTTTGAATCCTGATGGGGAATCATACGTGCAAAATAACTCGGGATTACCTGCGAAGGGCAGTCCAATAATGATACTTCAAGACCGGATGAAGACGGTAGGTATGACCGTACTATGACGAACTCAATTATTCAACACCATCAGAGCACTGTTGCTGACGGGGATGAAATCAATATCACCAGAACGTGTGTGACATCCCAGTGACACTCAATGAGGAGCGTAAGGCTGGTTACATGCTAGCCTGGTTTTAACACGGTGGGGGGGGTGGGGGGGAAAAGGAGCGTAAGGCTGCCCACAGTGTTTCCTTTCACATAGTGTACAACCTACCATTTGAGATGGCTCTGGGCCAGAGATGGCGCACAGGCACAGACTTGGTGTCATTTGGTGTGTAATAACCATACTTGCAACCGCACTGTGCGCCGGACCGTCTGGTGCGCTGCACGGCGTGCGGCGCAGCACCTGCTCGTGCGCCATACCAGCGGCAGTTTCCCTTTTTTTTGCTTTCTTTTTGCTGTTTTTGTAGATACAGAAGAGTGCAACACCTAAGGAACTGATCGTTTTCAAGTACAGTAGTACAGATTTTTCTTTCCGTCCAATTGGGCATGAGAAATAGCCTCAAAAAGGTGTCTGGGACATCAGCCTTGACCTTTAGGTAGCGGCATTACCCTCCTGCTAGTTTATTCCCCCCCCCCCCATCCCACAACAAATCTTTAAAGGGGACGCAGGTGAGCATTGACCCAGCCATGCGACCCCTTGTTTTTTTCGAGTAAATACTTTCCCCGTGCGCCGCACCGTGGTCCTGCTAGTTTATTCCCCGCCCCCCCATCCCACAACAAATCTTTAAAGGGGACGCAGGTGAGCATTGACCCAGCCATGCGACCCCTTGTTTTTTTCGAGTAAATACTTTCCCCGTGCGCCGCACCGTGGGGGTCCGCTCGTGCGCCAAACGTGCGGAATTTTCCGCACGGTGTCCGCTTCACGTATGGTAATAACCAAAAATAAAGCAGAAGGAGATAAGGAGGAAAGAGTGATAAGTACGAGAGTAATAGCAAGCAATAAAGATCTTTCACCATCTATTGGTTTATAGAAAATCCTCGGAAAATCCCAGTTGCCATAGGAGGGTCAGTTCGGGGTTCAATCCTAGATAAGCAGCTTGCCGAGGAGCTCATCAGCTGCGGGAGGAGGCCCATGGGAATGGGGCTGCGTCCCACTACCGGTAGGTCTGTCTGGAGAGTGACAATAGAACAAGCCTCAGAGGACTTCCGACTGAGATGGAGAGCTGTTGGGCTTGGCCAGGTTTGAACCCCGAACTGACCCTCCTATGGCAGAATACAGTGGCGTGCCCCCAAGAACTTGCACTCCCATACAAACTGGGCGAATTATCCACTTGGTGAATAATCAATCCACCAAGTTGTTTATTAAACTTTATTTATTTATTCATTTATTTATAAGTTGGTGGATAATTTGAAGTGGGTGGCGAGATGGTGAATTATCCACCAAGTTGGTGGAGTGGTGGATAATTAGTAATTAGTAATTATTAATTAGCCAACTTGGTAACGCCGTTGGTACAAGCCGGAACTGTTGAAACACAGACCTGAGTCTGAAATCCGATCGAATCAGTCTTTTACTCTTCTGAGGTTCACCAAAATTTGCAACAGACAATTCCATGGCCTACAGCCTTGAAGTTCACACACAGGGGAAGAGAGAAGGCATATTGAAGATGAAAGCATGTGGAGGAAGAGAGAGCACAGAGCACATTCAACATGACTCCCGAACCTGCAAGATTTGTGGCATTCAGTTGTTGTACACAATCAAGTTGCTGTAAGCAATAAATTGCTGTGCCCTTTTCTGATTTCCACCAAAAACTTAAAACAAACTATTCCATGGTCTACAGCCTCAGACGCAAGGGCAGAGAGCAGGCAGATAGAAGCAAACCGGGTGTGGAGGAAGAGAGAGCAGAGAGCACAGATGGCAGGGAAAAGTACTGGTGCAAAGAAGAAGGAGAAGAAGGAGAAGAAGGAGAAGAAGGAGAAGAAGGAGAAGGAGGAGGAGAAGAGGTGGAGACGAGGAAGGAGACGAGGAAGAGACGAACACGAGGAAGAGGCGAAGATGAGGAAGAGACGAAGACGAGGACGAAGACGACGAAGACAACGACGAAGAAGAAGACGACGACGAAGAAGAAGAAGAAGACGAAGAAGAAGAAGAGA